TCTCCAGGTCCTTGAACAGTGCTTGGCCCGTAGTATACTCTCAATAAGTATTTGTTGAGTGAGTGAGCAGATTTAAGGTGCAATGAGAGAGGGTAGAGGCTTCAGATCCAGGAGTTGAACTTGGAAAGGGGATGGGCACTTTGTCTTTGAAAAGTTGTAAAAAGAAATAGAAGACAGGGCCCCTGCCCTCAGAGAATTTATGGTTTAAATAGAATATAGAGACATCAAAAAACAGTTAATGCTTAAAGTATCTGACAAATTGAAATTAAGAGACTTCACCTCAAGTATATAAATCCTGAGGAAATAATAGAATAAAGGCCAAAAGCTCTGAGGTTAGAGAGTTGTTCTGGGATGGCTCCCTAAGAATGGCGAAGAATTTTTAGCCAATTTTTAAAGAAGAAAATAATAGGAACTGACAAGAGGGCTGGAAGTGTTTTCCAAATTAATGACAAGTACAAAGCTTTGGTGCTGAAATGAGCGAGGGCTGCCCCCAGATTAACTCCATTGCAACCAGAGGCCACGTGGGCAACCAGAAGATAGGAAGGCAGGGGGAGGGCGCCCGAGCACATAATTTAGATTTGAGGTGGGGAAGCATCAGAAGGAGAGGCTGGGTTTGCCTGAAGACAAAGCAAGGGGCAAGGTGTTTGCCTTTGGATCTTCTGAACACCGATAACAGTCTCACTTGGCACCGGCAGCTGGAGTATCAGAGGCAGCAGCTCCTGGCCGACAGGCAAGCCTTCCACATGGAGCAGCTGAAGTATGCGGAGATGAGGGCTCGGCAGCAGCACTTCCAGCAAATGCACCAACAGCAGCAGCAGCCACCACCAGCCCTGCCCCCCGGCTCCCAGCCTATCCCACCTACGGGTGCTGCTGGGCCACCCACGGTCCATGGCCTGGCTATGGCTCCGGCCTCTGTGGCCCCTGCTCCTCCTGGCGGTGGGGCCCCTCCTGGAAGCTTGGGCCCCTCTGAACAGATCGGGCAGGCAGGGTCAACTGCAGGGCCACAGCAGCAACAACCAGCCGGAGCCCCCCAGCCTGGGGCAGTCCCACCAGGGGTACCACCCCCTGGACCCCATGGTAAGTGATGGCTTCTTGAACTCTTGCTGACTAGAAGGATCCAGGTGAACGGTCCAGGTCCCCTTGGCGAGAATATCTGAGAACTGGAGATAGAATTGGCCTTAGTTTGAACTGATGGGCGCAGCTCTTATATATTCCTAAGCCAGCAGGGCTCTCTCCCCAAACCCAGATCTCTGGAATTTTGCTCCAAGGATTTACCACTAATTCTAATGTCCGGAAAAGGGAAAGTGGTGCCTAGGGGTGGCTAGATTATCCTCCCTATAAACATGAGTTGACATGGCCGGTTCCTTAATAGCACATGCCATCTGTGTTCACACAATCCAAGTGTCCTGGAAAATTTTTTACAACTTGCATCTGGAGCCAAACAAGGTCCGTTGTAGTTGGTGAATGCTGCTTATATTTTAAAAACCACAGGTTCTCCCTCAGCTCTTGCAATGTTGTTAAAGCAACAGATAGTTCTGTACATGGTTTCCCCATCAGAATTCCTCTTTCCCAGTGTTTCCTATGAAGCGATTTTTAGATCTAGGGGCTTAATAGCTTTACAGCTCTATTTTAAATATTAGGATTGACTGATTCCTCAGAAGGGTGAATGAATAATGTAACTTGGGCGACAATTTTAGAGCAGAATTGGAAGAATGTTCCCACTAAATGTAAAGCAATAGTAGCATCATTAACTTCTGAGAGAGTCAGTGAAAGGAAGTATTAGAGTCATTTAGTGAGATTCAGGGTGCAGAGAAGTCTGCTTTGGGTGTACGTAGGAAATGAATACCAAAGATTTTGCACAGAAAATTAATTAATAAAAAGAGTTGACAAGTGAGATTTCGACCTCTAACCTTCCTATCTCTTTATTCCCAGGCCCCTCACCGTTCCCCAACCAACAAACTCCTCCCTCAATGATGCCAGGGGCAGTGCCAGGCAGCGGGCACCCAGGCGTGGCGGGTAATGCTCCTTTGGGTTTGCCTTTTGGCATGCCGCCTCCTCCTCCTCCTGCTCCATCCATCATCCCATTTGGTAGTCTAGCCGACTCCATCAGTATTAACCTTCCCCCTCCTCCTAACCTGCATGGGCATCACCACCATCTCCCGTTCGCCCCGGGCACTCTCCCCCCACCTAACTTGCCTGTGTCCATGGCGAACCCTCTACATCCTAACCTGCCGGCGACCACCACCATGCCATCTTCCTTGCCTCTCGGGCCGGGGCTCGGATCCGCCGCAGCCCAGAGCCCTGCCATTGTGGCAGCTGTTCAGGGCAACCTCCTGCCCAGTGCCAGCCCACTGCCAGGTGAGAAGGGTCCTGGAGGGGAGAAGGGTGAGGGAGAGGGGTCCACATGGAGGGATGGAGGGCAGCAGGGGAAGGGCTCAGGTGCTTTTGGAGCGCTCTGATAAAATTAGAATACGAAAGGAAGGGCCTCTCTGGCTGTCCGCCACCATTCCCCAGCCTGGCAGCTGCCACCCCTGGGATGACGTTGGGGCCTTTCACTGTGGGTCATGGAGGAGTCCTGTGGCACAGAGCATCTCAGTTGTAAACTTGAAAAACAGCTACCTGATTGCATGATGATTGGCATCCCCTTTGCTTGTCCCCGTCACGCTCCAGTGCCCCATTCAGAAAGTTTCCTTGGGGGCAGGAGGATGATTTGGGGTCTGTCAGTTTCCCAATGTGAGGTGGGAGAGGGTGTTGGGAACAGGAAGCTGTACATTGTGGGTACCTCACTCATCTACCCACCCATCGCATGCCAGTCCGGTTCTGTTCGTCCGCGGTGGCCTGGGTCCGGAGGCCTCTCTCCTCGCTCTCGCTGATTCATCTTCCCTTTCTCCACAGACCCAGGCACCCCCCTGCCTCCAGACCCCACAGCCCCGAGCCCAGGCACGGTCACCCCTGTGCCACCTCCACAGTGAGGAGCCAGCCAGACATCTCTCTCCCTCACCCCCCCATGGAGATCAAGGTTCCAGGAACAGCCCTCCCCCCACCACTGGGACCCTTCCCCCGCCTGGAGAGTTCATCACTACGTAAGGAAAGCTCTTCCTGTCCCCTCCACAGCCCCTACCATGCCTGTCAGGGGCATGCATTTTTATATCGGATTATTCAAGAACTTCTGTTTAAAAGATCTTTCTAATATGTAGGAGAAAGGATAGGATTGAGGATGCTGCCCTCAAAGGAAGGGCTGGGGGAAGGTGTTTATACAAGTTCTAATTAACCACTTCTAAGGGTATACCCCCTCAAAACTACTGCATTTTTTATGGATGAAAAAACATTAAGCCCTTTTAAAGGAGATAGATTTTTTTGTTTTAAGTACATTGGAGCTCCCTCCACCCACTTAAAAAAAATCGAGCTTTTCCATGTTTTTGGAGGAGGGAGGCGACAGTTTTAGGAAAGGGGAATTAATGTTCTGGAGAGAGCTCTGGGGATAGAATAGGGTGCAGAACCTGTCCCCTCCAGCCCCTCGTTAGTGACTTAAGTCAACTCAGAACCCCCTCGGTCACCCCACGCCCGGTTTATTCCTACTAATCTGCTGCTTCCTCAGTGTCGGTGTTCTTAGGCCACCCCAGCTCAGCCAATGACCCCTTTCCCTCTCAATGTCAGTTTTGTGTTTTTAAGTCACCGACTTAGTTGATGTCAGTGTACGTGTATTTGGTGGGGAAACATTTTCTTGGGGGATTCCTTTGGTAGGTAATAGAGGACAGGGCACTCGGGGCTCTTCTTCCTCCCTGGGCTCTATCAGGGGGCCCCTAGAAGACATAGAGAGGGCAGCTAGAAGAGGATGGAAAGTTTTAAAAACCTGAAATTTTAAAAAAGCACTTAAGCACCTCCTTCTTATGACTCAGTGGATCATCCCCATAACCTCTTCCCTACTCCACCATGACCGTCAGAACCTTGACTGGTAGCTAGGGGTTCCTTGGGATTTGGAGACGGTGGGGATGGGGGCGCCCGACCTAGGGTAGTACTGATCCCCCGCTTGCAGCTCAGCTCAGCTCCCCAGATCCCAGTGCCTCACATACCAGCTCTCCCCTCTTCATCCTTGATGTGAAGGCAAATGTGATTCCAGGCTCTCCATCAATTCCCGGTCCCTCCCGCCAGGCCTTCGTTCCTCACGTCCCCGTGTTTCTTTTCCTCTGCGTCTTGGCACCTTCCTTCTGTTCAAAAGTTTTCTGTAAATTTTCTCTTTTTTCTTTCCTTTTCTTTTTTATAAATTAATTTGCTTTCAGTTTTAGCTTGTGGGTGCCTCCTGTGTTCTCTGACCTGTGGCTGTGAGGTAGGGGGTTCGGGCTGGGGGGCATCATTCCTGGAGTTCTTCCCTGGGACACGCACTTGGGCCAGAGAGCCACTCCGGCCAGACACGGGGCGCCTGTCCCTCGGGCTGAGACTAATGGGCAGCACAGCTGTCGGGCCTCCGCACGGGTGCAGGAGCTGAGCAGAGGCTCTTACCTGCCCTATAAACAGCTGTCAAAGGCCTGAAAGGACATCCTCACAATCTGGAGATTTTGTGTATTTATCCTTTCAGAAGTAGTGGCTTCATTTCTTCCCTTATTAGGCGGGGAGAAGGCAAGTACCTCACCTCCTTTTGTTATTATTGGCCCCTAGCCCTGCTGGGGTGACAGGCTCAGGCAGCACTAATATGGCCTGGCTTTAGCTCCAATAAACAGTCTCCAGGCCTCGCCGTGAAAGGCCTACATGCTTGATAGGGTGAGGGCCGGGATTAAGGAGCTGGAGGGCTAGGTGAGGACTCAGCCTCATGTTGCTGGAATATTAGGATGGCCAGCATCAGTCCTACAGAGACTTACAGCTTTCCTCTTCCCCCAAGGGGTGGCCTTTGTAGCATCAATGAATGGGATCAGCATCTCTTCAATGAGGCAAAGATGGCTCCTACAAGGCCCCTCCCCAGCCTTCTCCCCTTCACACTGCTCAGGAAGGAAAGCAGAACCGCATTTAGGGCACAGAGAGCAAGTTTATTTGGTGAATGCTGATGGCAGACATCATCCAAGATATACAAGATCGGGAAAGTGCTGTGGCAAGAGAACCTAGGAAGCCTTTGGGGCTACGCACTCTCACACAGGGGAAGGCACAAGGCTCTGGGCGTACTGGGAACGTCTTCAGCCATTCAGCACCATGCGGACGAGCTCTGTGGAATGGAGAAAGGTGTGAACCAGGGAACAGAGCCAAGGGGAGGGTGCGCCAGGGACCAGGAGACCGTAAGACCGCAAAGGTGGCGTAAGAAGGGATGTGCCTGTAGCAACCAACCTTGGGGTCGGTTTGCAGAGGAGTCACCTTGAGTCTGACCAGTTCTCTGGGCCCCCAGCTCCCCTCCCACCAGCTGTTAGTTCCCACCCCACCCTGAGCAGCAAGAACACAGCAGAGGCAGAAAAGTTCTTAACTACACCTACAGCTACTGTCAGCCATTGGCAGGGGAAGACAGAGTTATGGGTTAGGGTACCTCCAAGCTGCCCAGCGGAAGGAAGGAGAAAAGACTGTTCAGCTACAGCAGCACAATGGGGCAGGCAACCCACCCCCCCTATGCCAACCGCCGGTGCTCCAGGGCCAAAGGATCACCCTAAAGCAAGAGAGGGACAGGCTGGTGAGAATTCCCAGACACCAGCACCCAGGGCACTCTAAGTAAAACTTCAGAGCCCACTCTAGGAGAGACGGAGGTACCACACCCCCAGGTTGTCTTCTTTTTGAGGAACCCCTCCCCTCCCCAGTCAGCTCCATGCAGAAACATGCCAGGAAGTCAGATGGTAGTAGGGGTAGGGCAGGGACCAGGGAGCAAAATTTGGGAAGAAAAACACTGGGGAGGTCAACTAGAGAAGGGGAGGCTGGGATGAGCCGTACCCGCCCCATGGGCCCGTCACCCCGACAGGATATGCCTCACAAACGCTGCAGGAAGGAAGAGACATTAATGGTGAAGACAAGACACACACACATGGGGTGAAGGGGCAGGTGGTCGGGGCATAGACATTCCATTTATTACACTTCCCATTCCTTCCCCACCCTTCACACCACATTGCCCCTTCCTTTCCTGTGATACAGCCCTGGCCTCCCGCTCCTGGGCTGGGCAGGGCCCTGCCACTTGCCTCCTGGCACATTTTGGAGCCCAAGTCCCATGACAGGGAAAGCCCCAGACTGTACTTGACCTGCCTCATATGGCTGGTTCCTCAACAAGAGCCCCAATTCATCCCTCACCTTCATAGTTGATACAACCATTGCTGTCCTCATGCCCTGCCACCAGCATCTCTACTTCTTCCTCTGTCATCTTTTCACCTGCAGAGGGAAAGAGCATTTTGGGAACTGCATGACAGGTGAAGTATCAGGTGGAACCTCAGCTCAAGTAGCAAGGGTAGAGCCTTACCCAGTGTGACGAGAACATGCCGGATCTCAGCACCCATGACAGTGCCATTCCCTTCCTTGTCAAACACCCTAAGGCCTTCAACATAGTCCTCATAGGTGCCCTGGTCCTTGTTCTTGGCCACAGTCTGCAGCATGGGCAGGAAATGCTCAAAGTCCAAAACCTTCACATTCATCTCTGCCATAAAGGAGGCAAAAGGAAAGTCACACAAGTTCTCAGAATGGAGGGGATTGCAGGGATCACAACCAAACAGGCTGCTCCCACTCAAAGCCGGAGAAATCCATGGGATTTGCTAGCGGAGACAAGACCTGCTTGAGTTTGGGGCCTATGAAGATAAAGGGAGCTCTTAGCTGAAGATCTGTGGGCTCTGTACCACACAGTTGTTCCTGAGGATCCTCACCATCACTCTTGGGGTTCCCCAGGACTTTGAGCACCTCGGCGTTGGTGGGGTTCTGGCCCAGGGCCCTCATCACGTCCCCACACTGGCTGTAGAGGATCTTGCCATCCCCTGTTCTGTCAAACAGCTGGAAGGCCTCCTTGAACTCTGAGGATTGAGATAAACATCAGCACTGGGCACATGGAGGTTCACCCAATCCCTCCTGGTGTCCATTGCCCATTCAACTTTAATCATGCTGAGGAAACCAGATATTTACTCCGCTGTACATCCAAGTCCACTAAGAGGGACCCACTGTCAGTCCCTCCCACCTCAGGTGTCCCACAGAAAGACACAGCCTTCCTCCGCTCTAGGCAGAGTAGTAACATCCATTTACACACCCCCTCTGCCTGCCGCAAGCCTGCCCAGCCTCCTCACGACACTACTCAGGGCAGGAATTTGCCACCGCCCAGTCTGGGTCCTGTCCTTATAAGGAAGTGGGAGCTGCAGCCTGGGACTGGGGTCATCCCAGCCTGCCACTGCCCACCTCTCCCATTCAGGAAAAGCATCCTCAGCAAACTCCCTTGTCCCCATTTTTACAAAAGAGCAGGTTACTGCTTTTTACAGTCTTCACAATTCCAAGCTCGGGGCGGGGGGGGGGGGGGATTGTCAAGGAGGAGAGAAGAAGCGAAAGAAGCCGATTAAGGGGCAGAGACATACAGGCAGCTTCAGACACCCTCCCCAAACCCCAAACACAACAGGCATTAGGTGACCAAGTTGTTTCACATACCCACAACCACCTAAAACTCACCCAGTGCTTGCTCAGATCTAGAGTGGAAGGCGAGGGAGGAAGAAAGAGTGAGAAAAGAAAATGGAGGCTCCAGAAGGAGGGAAGGAATCCAGGAGGTACTCCCCTGGGGGTGCTAAAGAGATGACAGGTTGGGGTTGGGGGATAGGAGCTAAAGGGGGTGTCTCCTCTCCCTAAGCGTGATTTCAGTAGGGGTCAGTTACCCACCTGCGGTCTGGTCCTCGGTGAAGTCACACTGCTCAGAGAAGAAGGGAGCGGTCAACATCTGAACTCCAATCCCCCAAGCTTCTATCCCAGTCCCACAAACTGAACCAAACTCCTCGTCCATGCAGGGAACTCGCTTCCCAGCAGGACAGGACCCCAGATTTTCCAACCCCACCTTCAACCTTCCGGCCCTCAAGTTCCCTTTGCCCCTTTCCTCTGCCTCCTCCTAACCCCCTACCCCCGTCTCCCGTCTCCCGCCTCTCGCCTCAAATCCCGCTCACCCTCCCAAGCCCCGGGCCCCACCATCTTGACTGCCAAGCTCTGCGGGGCCTTTTCCTGCAGTAATGGCTCCGGCTCTCAACCCAACCCTACTCTTAGTACGCCTGGTTGACGTCACCCTCGGGCTGACCCAGCCAATAGGGTTCCTGGCCTGGGCTTATGCAGATGAATTGCTATATTAGTAATGAGATGGGCGGGGCCCGCTGCTGTTCAGTCCTCCAAAATAGCCTTACCTGGGGCACAGAAACCCCACAAAGCAGGCGGGATGGGGAGGGGCGCAAGGAATTTGTTTCTCGGAGCAGCAGGAAGATCCCAGGGGAACGGATTGGGGAAGAGGACAGCCCTCTCTTCCCTCCCTCCCCCCCACCAAGAAGAAAATAACAGTCGGAGCCAAGGGAGGAACCGTCTCTTTATTTTGAAACAATAGGTGGCCTCCTAGTGGCAGGAACGTGCTTCCGCCTGCAGGGGGCCTAGTGTCCGACCCCACGGCATCTGTGGGAAAGGATGAAAAGTTGCCAAACCCGGCGCTCACACGCAGCAGAATGTGAAAACACTCTTCCCTGCCTCTCTACCCTGGCGGTGGGAGCAGAAGGAGACTTGTCTTTCAAGACGGAGTGGGAGGGCCATACCTGTAGAGCTCAGACGCTTAGGATGTGCTTCAGAAAGGCTGCAGAGAGAGGAGGCAAGAGGGGCTTCAGAAGCAGGCCCTTGGGGTGTCTCCTTGGGTTAATCTATCTGACTTCAGATAATCCAGGCCGCAGGGTCCCCACACCTGCGTATTGGGATCTTTCTGCCACCCCTTCTCTCTCGTCCTTTCTGCTCCTGTGCCCCCTCACCTTCATAGTTGATGCAGCCATTGCTGTCCTCATGTCCTGCCAGAACTGTCTCCACCTCCTCTTCAGTCATCTTCTCTCCTAAGTCCCAGACACAACGTTTTAGTCCCTGCCTGCCTTTCTTCCCTCACTCACCAACCAGGCCACACTATTCTGAACGGTACCTCCTCTTCTCCCACCCTGGAGATTTGCCCATCGCCACAGAACCCCGAAGGAATCCTCCCCTTGTAATGGTAATGCCTTCAACGTGTTTCTGCATCTAGCTTTCCGTTTCACCTGCATTAGCACCAGGTGAAAACTTTGACAATGAAACTAAATTCCAGAGAGTTAAAAGAAAGTATCTGATCAGAGCACCAGCATCTCTTCCAAAACAGAAACTCAGGCCTCCCACTTCATCCCCTTTCCTCTGCCCTTCGGTAAGCAGCAGTGTTCCACCCCCCACCCCCGCCCCAACTTTAGCCTCTGCAGGAGGAAGCCCTTCTAGTTCTGCCCCCATGGCTCTGACCTTCTCAATCTCCTGCCTACAACCTACAGGACAGTAATCCCTCACTGGCTCTTCCTACTTGGCAACCTTCTTTTTGGTCCACCCTGCAGGAGCTCTGGTCTGTGCCTCACCCAGGGTGGTGAGGACATGTCTCAGCTCTGCTCCCATGACTTTGCCGTTCCCTTCTTTGTCAAACACCCGAAGCCCCTCCAGGTAGTCTTCATATGTGCCTTGGTCCCGGTTCTTGGACACTGCCTGGAGCATGGGCAGGAAAGTCTCGAAGTCCACACGCCGGGACTTCAGCTCTGAAGGTTAGAGAGGTGAGGGAGAGGTCACTGTGGTGTCACCTAAGATCCAGTTCCCATCCCAACCAAGAAGGCTTTCATCCTGTTCAACATTCAGGAGGTTTTTCTGCCCCTGGGTTTGACAGTTTTTGAAGTCCTAACACCCACCCCAGCATCCTCTGTCACCTTACCAATATTCCTCAGTTCACCACCAAACTGAAAACCTACATCATTCCAGGGGTCTCCTCACCATCACTCTTGGGGTTCCCCAGGACCTTGAGCACCTCAGCGTTGGTGGGGTTCTGGCCCAGGGCCCTCATCAGGTCCCCACACTGGCTGTATTGGATCTTGCCATCCCCTACGCGGTCAAACAGCTCAAAGGCCTCCTTGAACTCTGAAGTATAAAGAGGTGTCAGTGTTGACCAGGGTTTCCCATCACCCCCCACCCCCACCCCCAGCCCCAGACAGAAAGGAAGTTCAGAAACTATGTGCTACAGCTGGGCAGAACAAAAGGGACAGGGAGGACTAGTGTGGGAGGTTTCAAGGTCGGGACTGGAGTTGGGAGAATAGAAAGAGAATCTGACCAGGGACTTGGGTCTGGACAGTGGGCTCAGGGGGACCAGCTTCTCCTCACCCTCCAGCTGGTCCTTGTTAAACTCGATCTGTGGAAGAAAAGAGCAGGTGAGGAGTAATGACAGAGTTCATTCAATCTCTCTGTAGCACTCCTCCCAACCAACAGCCACTTCTGGGTAGGGGCCCAAAGGGACCAGGCTGGTAGCCCAGCCACCTCAGTCCCATTCCCAGATCTGGTCCTTGGGAGAATCCCAAGAGGAGGAATTATCAGGGGGGAGGGTTTTCTGGAAACCGGGTTAATCCCATGCCACCTGTTCTCCTCCCTCCACTGCCCTGAGCCCTGCATCCCTCACATAACTGGGGGCTGAACAAAGGCTAAATTTACCCGTGGCCCCCAGCTGTGATTGTCTAACAAGTCTGTCCTCTTCAGCCTTCCGACTGGGGTTCAGAGATGTGGCCTTTAGAGTTGAACAGTCAGCCAAGCACAGGCAGCAACTCCCTCCCTTCACCTTGAAACTGTCCCGGAACCCAGATGTTCCCCATCTCACAGTCCCTGCCTCCAGCCGGAGGGTCAGTGAATGTGTATGTGTACGCACGTACACACACATGTGTAACAGGTCAGAGGACAGAACAACAAAGATACTAGCAGAGCCATATGCCTGGATGCTTCCAAATGAGGGACCAAGAGGAACCCTCAATATCATTCCATTGCTCACTGACTCCTAGCTTCTAGATACCTCCTAATTCCCTAGACTGTATCCCACCCTTCTACCACCCCCTCCCAATTCTTTCTTCGCTTTCCGGGAACTCACCACCACTTTGGAGAGGTCGATGGGGGGCTCCTGAGTTTTCTCAGGGGCTGCAGGGACAGCTGCGGCTGGCTCAGCCTTGGTCTTGGCTGGAGGAGCCCCCGCTGCTGGCTTGGTAGCAGGCTTGGGGATAGAGGGCCCCGCTGGTTTCTTCACAGGAACATCCTTCTTGGGAGGCATGATGTCCGGTGACCAAAGGACAGTGTGCCGATGGGGGCACCCATCTCTGTTTAAATAGCCAGGGAGTCTGGGATGTCAAGGGGCGGGGGCAGAGGCAGGGAGCCAGTTGGCGGTGGGGAGGGTGAGATAGAGGAGAGATATGCAGCCTGCCCTCACTCCCCTGGCCGCCTATGGTTCAGGACTCCTGCCCCAAGGTCTTCTCCCTTCTGTCTACCCCACCCCAAAGGCTGGCCAGAACAATGGTCCCTTTGGGGACAATGGAAGGAAGCCAGAGACTGTCCAGAGGGAAATTAACCTCAGGGGTGAGGACAGGATGATTGTGTTAGTGACAGTGAGATGGGGTGAGGCAAAGAGAGGGATCCAGGCATTCCAGGCCCTCAACCCCCTGACTCAGAGTAGCCCCTTTTTCTAGCAGCTTTAGACTCTGGAAGGCTGACGCCAGGAGGAGTGCCTTGTGAACTGGAACAGTTAAAGTGAGGTCTGAGAGCGGTGAAAGGTGAAAATATCAAGCATCCCCTCCACTCCCTCTGACCATGGGTGAGGAGCGGGGTAGTTGACCCTACAGACTAATAATCCCCAATACTTCTAGTCACTGTCCTCCTCCCTCCCCGTCCAGAACTGGAGTTGTGCACAACATACAGAAAAGCATAGTAATATTAAAAGGAGTTGACAACCTCCCCCCTCCCCCCGCCGACCTCCACCCCGAATTATCTCCTGTGCCACGTTCTTTTAGGGGAGGGTGGCGCAAAAACCAGTTGAACACCCACCACCCATGCTCCCAAGGAAGAAATCCTTTCCCACAAGCCCTTGGTCATTCAAGTCAGACAAATGTAGGGCGCCTGCTGAATTTGCAGGGACTCCGTGGTGGCACCTGAGGGAAGGGTAGGTTCTGAGACAAAGGGCCTAAATTCTAATATCTCTACCAAAAGGATGTGGGAGGTGCTATGGGCCTCATGAGTATTCCCCCAACCAGAGGAATAATGAAAACCTTGACTCAGGCGCCAGCTTACAAACCTTACTGGGGGCTCAGGGGAAGGGTCGGAAATCGGGCGTATTAGGGAGAGGGGAAGGATTGCTGGCTACTTTTGTTCTGGAGAGACAGGAGAGGATTTAGGTGGCATTCTGAGGAAGACAGTAGTGATTCCATTTAGGCCCTGCGGTTCAGAGAGTAGATGCTCAGTCTCCCACTCAGAAAAATAAATAAATAAAGCGTCTGAATCTCATGACTGCAAATTGTCCCATTTTTAGGAAATCAAAAGAATTTCTCAGGAGTACATCACACACAGACACACGCACACACACAATTTAAATAAAGGGGATAGTCCCTTCCCAGCTCCATAAAACTCACCCCGCAGGATCCAGGTAAGGGACGGAGGCGGGGCGCAGAGCGGCCGCGGGCCCTGAAGGGTTAATTCCGGCGGCCTCGGAGCCTGCCGGGAGGCGTAGTCCGTGCGCGCCCCCGGGCTCGCGGGAAACGCCTCTCTCTGGCTCGAAAAGGACGCCGGGGTGGTGACTTCCGGCCGGTGGCGGCAGTTGGTGACGGCGGTTCTCTCCGGCGCGATTCTTGTCCCGGAACCGAAAGGCAATGACCAATTTACAGTGCCCATCCCTGACCCCGAAACCGTGCGGGCCTCCTCAGATATCTCCCTTGTTAGCCCTGAGTTCTCCGGTTACCGTGGGCGGGGATATTTTCCTGGTGAGAGAACTCAGAATCAAGGTAAAGACGGAAGCTGCTGCAGCAGCAGCAGCAGCAGGCCGATTAGAGGTCAGCTTGTAGGAAGCACTTACTGTCCAGGGGAGAGTGGCGCGGTCCGTTGCTACGCAACCCCAACGTTTTTGTTTTGTTTTTTTTTCCTCACTTGAGGCTATGTCTTTCTTGATCTGAGAGAGAGAGAGAGCCAGAGAAACATCGATGTTTCTCCCGCTCGCGCCCTGACCGCGGAT